CAGGGGTTCGATGAAGCGCCTCTCGTCCTCCAGTTGAATTGTGATTGGAAAGAAATGTTTATCATAGCTACTAATTAGAATTAATAAAAAGTAGGACTAAATAGTGATTCATACAGTAGGTATTGTAAAACCATTTGTTACTAATCGTTTGCTTATTGGAGTTGGAAATTAGATTATTGAAGTCATTCAGGATGTTCACGGTGATTCATCAGTGGGCAATGTGCTTACCAAATGCTGTGAACTGGATCAGTTCCTATTTCCTCGATGACGATCGATATTGTAATGTAAGTGGAATGGTCCAATTGCCTTGATATCGCTCTTACGTCACAAGTTTTCATTGGAATCGGGAAGTGGCTACGGTGGACACATGTTTTTTCCTAGTTGAGAACAATTAGCACTCTGCGGAACGCCTTAAGTCAATCAAACAAAGTGGAAAATTCCATGACCTAGTAACTTGTTCGTGTTTTATCGCTTTTAATAAAACATTTTTTGATGCATCAGCACCATGTTATCAATGTTTGATAAACGATTCGGTGTTATGAATTTTTAGGTTGGACCTATGTAGGTTCGCAATACGACTAATCTGATAATTTCATTGAAACTTAAAGTAAATATTAAGTAAAATGGCAAATGTTACTTGAGTATAAATTTGGATTAGAAGCTGTTCACTAACATTGTTTATTTAAAATCCATAGATATAACTTTCAGTTGCATATTAGATGTGGATCGGTCGGATGTTCTTGATGAGAATGACAACGTTATTCAATGATTCATAGATTTCAAAGAACACCATATGTAGGCAGGTATTTTAGTATAATAGGTATACTAACCATCCCTAACTCAGGTCTCATATGGTCGAAAAATGGAGATTTCGGAAATGCGGAAAAATCATTACCTGACATGAGAAAAAGGGTAATAGAATTGTTTGGGCTTATTTGCATCAAGATGGGCTACCTCTTCTACTATCCTACGCCATATATATGTTCACCATATGCTCTACTGCTATATAGATCTGAAGGTCTCCGATGAGACCAGAGGTTCGCTGTGAACATTGTGGATGGCTTAGCATTGCTTTGGTAAGCATTGCTAACAGTCCATATAAAAAATGGGTAGGAGGGCGACAGACTTCATCGATAAAGGATTGAGCCGGAATGTTCATGCAGAAATGGTAACAAGTGAGCAGTCTACTTGGTTCTCCTGAAATTCAATCTAAAATTGCCCTTGGCATTAAAGGGTTAATTTATATGATATGTAATAAAAGTTTTAGTATAATTACTCAGGTTTATATGTATTACTCAGTTTCCCAATCAATTAAACTACCACTTAGATATTTCGACCACCAGTAACATTTTGTAAAACTGAAATGTTTACAATCGACTGGTTGACTGTATCTGTCATGTCATTTACTTCCGATTAAATCCTAGGATTCAAATTCTTCTCTCGATCTCCTTGAACTAACTAGCATTGTGCATATGATGGTCAATCACTATTTTGAATTCGACTTTAATGACACAACATCAATTTCAAAACATAATCAGTTCTGTGAGTGGCTAACTTTAAGTATCAAATATTGTTTAGAAAAATCAAAGAATTAATAACTGTTAATTATCAAATGATCATTGGTTACATTACCAGTTCTGCTTTGTTCTCAGGTTGATGAAAAACAATTTTATGGATGAATTAAATTGTTATCTTGATACAGTTTCCAATTATATACTATAACCTGTGATTTAAACTAGAAAATAAGTTGAATATCAAAATACATTTAGTCTAATATAAATTTCAATTGGAAATATTTTCAGCCAATAATTTAGTGCCATTCTAATAAGTTTATCCAATTATGATTGGTCAGTTTATTTGACATCAGATTAAATTGACTATTTGATAGAATTAATTTATTTATGAAAATCATATTTACGAGTCTGTACATTAAAAACTGATTTGTCAATTTTGCAAAATGTCTAAATTGAATAACAATTGGATTCAAATATTAACCAAAACAAAATGAAAAATACTTTATATATTTTCAATGTTTTGCTAACATTACAAAAAATTATATACGGATTTATTGTTGAACATAGTTTGGTGAAAAATATACGTGATGGTGTTGAAAATTGGAGGCTTAGAAGTCTTGATCTTGGTGAGTAATTGTCTCAGCAAACGAGAAAATATTAATATGTGATTACATTTTCCAAACTCTTTTCTTTATAGAATCATTTTAAGATTTAGATTTTAGTATTGATTTTAGCGTGAGTCATTTTACTAAATGTTACTGAACGACAGAAAAACGCTTGTAGTAGTCAACTATTTAAATGATAGTCATATTTAACTAGAAAATGGCTTTGAATTATATTTTAGAGATGATATTTTATGTAAGTGCAAACGACTGATTGATTCGTGCAACATTTAATCCACATTTATTTTCATAATGAAGACAGAAATTAATGCTAATTGAATCCTTTTTACATGTAATTTCACTAAAACATTTTACCTGAAAATCTAGGAAATAAGTAAGCCATTTAAATGAAATCATTACATTACCATAATCTACTGTTGTATTGACTCAAGATTAAGTTATACAGAAAAATACCAAACGAATTGTTTCATTTTAAAATGCATGACAATGGAAAATGATTTTGAATGCAAGGTATTTATGTTACATTATACTAAGCTGATAATAAAGGTGTCAACTATGTACACTAATCTAAATTCATCATATTATAACTCGTATTGAATCAAGTTTGTAATTCGGATTTGAAAAAAAGTATTACATGTTGATCCTATTGTTAATGAGCACTTACCGGAAACGAATAGTAAACTAAGCGTTTATTGACGTTGAATTGTACAGTTTTTAGTTTTTAACCAGTTGCCTAACAAATAATTTTGTTCACGGTTAGCTAGTAGTTGTTCACTCAAAAAGGAAGAATGCGATTTTTCCTTAAATTAACAACAAGATATTAATAACAAGATATTGAATTATTGAAGAGAGTTTTTCAGTTTAATGTTGAATATTATTCAATGCACAGTGTCGTAATATTTTTCACATTGTTTGATGTACACAAAATTTGCACTCACTTGAGATGTTAAATGAAAAGGCGTCCTACAAAAGGTGATGTTTAGTGACAGATAGTTAATTATATATGAAATAATGTTAATTTTTTGACAGTTCTTGTTTGAGTGAACAGAATAGTTTATTGGTTAGTATTGATTGGTATGGATAAATATAGACTTTATCCATTTCATTTATCTATTCGAAAATGATTATTATTCTTGAATAAAGCTGATAATTTCATTACAAGTTCTGATGGTTAGACTGAAGTATTCAAGCTTCTGCTTTTTATTTTTCAAATTTATTGATACGTTTTTCCGATGAAAAATGTTTTTTTTTAGAGGAAAGAATGTGTCTATGTGATTCGGAAATAGAATATTTTTTTTTATTCAAATGATTTCATTTACTTAATCTGTATGTATAGGAATTGTGAATGATTAACAAGTAACGGTTGACAAAATGTTTCAGTTGCTAGCGTTATTCGGATAAGCGTCTTGCACTTACACGTCATATTGAATACCGTTTCAGGATACAAAAATTAGATTTGTTCACAATATATGCTATGGTGTATCGACTTCACTAGCTTCATCATACGCAGAACATAATACCTTCGTTTCATGACTAAGAAACTAGTGTAAATGGATTTCTACCGTAGCGGTTCAAATGTGTTCCAATAAGTGCAACCTGAACGCGTATCTCCCGGTCAAATATTAAAAACACAACAATCCTAGGAGAAAACGGTCTGTATTATATTAAAGGATGGAAATGCAAAGCAATACCTGGAATTGATGCACCTTCCAGGTTACAATTACTCCGAAGAGTATCCAAAACAAAGATTAATAAGTGACGTTGAGTCCAACAGCTACCGTATCAATCCAAATATGGCTGTAGCCATATTAAAGATCAAATTTAAACAACATATATACAGTTCAGAAGCAAACACAAAAACTTCAATATAAGTACAAAATATAGAAATAATAACAATATACAATGATAATTCTCAAATCGGAATCAAATAAAATATCAAAAACGTCAACAGAAAGAGTCCGTCATGTCATAACAAAAATATGTAAACATGGAGGGGTTTTCCAAAAAACAAAACATTCAAAAAGGATTCTACAACTAGATCAAGTTTATCTCGAACTGACGAGGTTTGAAGACATGAAAATGGATAAAGAGCATATACATTCGAAAGAGGAAGATAAATCAACGTGGCGTGTTGATTGAAGTGGTGCATGTGAATTTTCGAAACACAACCACTGTTATACTGAAAAAAAAACACTCGTTATGTACTTATGTTCACTTGAACATTACTGTAGAAGTGGGTAACAATCATTCCCATATCCTCAATCTGTGCAAAAATAAAACGAAATTGTATAAAATATACACATGTCACCTGAGTGAGAACTTCCTGAAGACAATTGTGATGCACTCCATTCTAATTGCGTGAGAGCAACTCAACCTGATGATACTAAATTCACACATGAGGACAATATCCACGTGATAAGGCGTATAAATATTACAGACTTTCACTGCAATCAGATATATGAGAATGTTGTTCAAAGTGCTGGTTGTTATTTGCTTTGTGCAGGCTTCTGTAGGATTAACAAAACATGACCAACAATTTATATTAAATATGCTTAACGAGATTCGACAACACGAAAGCTCGTATAGCGGGACATATATTATGTCAGTGAAGGGAGGGCTGCAGCCTCTTGTAAGTTTGAGACGATGTGAATGCGTTGTGCAGCAGATTGAATCTGAACGCATCACGTCTACATTTTTCACCAATAATTGACGACTCTTTTTTCATGATTTTCATGTTTTTTCGGAGAAATGGGACGATGATTTGGCTCATGCAGCACTAGATTGGTCTTCAAAATGTGACGAGAAACGTAGGCCATCGGATAGTAGAGTTGGCAAATGGTATTCCACGGTGCTAAACCACGCAATGGCATCCTCAATTGAAGGGTAGGTTTTCGACTGTGAATGCATCTCATATTCTCATACTTTCCAGCGCTATTGCCGAATGGATGGAAGAAGAGAATAACTACAACCGCACATCAAACACATGCATCAAGAATCGAATTTGCAGTAGGTACAAGGCGGTATGTGAAGTCAAGATTAGTTCTCCGAACTACATCTAGATTGTTCAACCCGAAACTACGCACGTTGGGTGCGAACAAACTCCATGTAACAGGACAAATTGTTTGCCTAACATTATGTTTGCCTGTTACTACTCACAAGTGTAAGTCTTCACAATTATCCCCGGTTCATCATTCATACTGTTACATCTTCTATGCACACATTTCACTGAGGTTCTGTTCTTTTCAATAGCATTTCTGGGCTTTGTCTCAGACAGTGAGCTTCAGTGTTGTTCTCCTCAATGTTATATTCAATCGTGTCTTCCATTACTTTCATCTATCATTTCTTTTCTGGTTTTCCCCCACGCCAAACGCTACTTCGTATCTTCCATCTTTTCTATTGCACACAACCCATGAACATATAAGCCATGGTTAAAGATACTAACTTTCCGTTTTCATTGTTTCCATTTTCAGTAAACAATGCCCGACCACGCACTTACTGTAAAAACGGAAGATGCAAGAACTATGAGACGTGAAGCATCATAACGCAGTTTCTTCACCATTATCAACAATGTAATCAGCGCTCATCATTTCAAATAAATTAAGTTCCAATAATCAATTGCGCATTGCTCATGAGTCTTCTCCAAAATGAAGGTGTGTATCGATTAGTGCTTTTCAAGTATTGACAATTCTTAGCGAAGTATTGCGTTGTAGAAAACACCTACGCCACTGTACTGTTTTTGTGCGTACTGTACACACTGCTTCGGGCAACCATATCTCAATTTTGTTTTCTTAGAGTACATTTTGTAAAATAAATTTAAATGAGATCAAAGTCCTCGGAAGTTGATATAAAATATCCACCTGAGGATGATGAATGTGTGATTATTCACGAATGTCTCGTGCGTTTCACACGTTGAAATATAACACAATCCACGAGTATTTTGTGACCAATGACACATTCTATTGAGTATGAGGTTGGTTCAGTGCAAGTAAAACATATGTTAGAATATACATTGTTTTCAAATTTTACTCGATGTCACCACTGCCTCGTGAATAATCATGTGTAAGACAATATATCAATGACGTCTATCGCAAAAGTGTTGAATGGACATTTATTTCCAGTCGTTTCTCTTTGTTGAAAAGCAAAAGGTATCTAGGCAAACGATTGTTCGCAATGGATTCGTCATCAGGCTCCAGATTGACAAGTCCATACCAAAAGTGCTAGTTTACAACGCTCGAATTACAACATTCATTTATAATTAGGAAGTTGATCCATGCTGAAAACGTTTGCAACTATGACAGTGAAAATACTTCAACATTGCGTCGTTTATAACTTCGAATTAGGAAGGTCGTTGAACTAAGACAAGAATAATTCATAGGAAAGGTTAAGAAAAATTCAAATTGGTAGAAGTTCGTTTCGATGATGGAAATAATGGTTACAGGAATAAAGTCTCCTGATTGTAGTTCATACCACAAGCAGTGCGCTCAAGCTAATTATGATAGGCTTCATATGGACTAGGGATTATGAAAGAAACGTGCGCTAAAGGAAATAATGAAGTGAGCGGAGGTTTATCATAACTAATCATTGTTTCTGATGATCCAGTCATAGACCAGGTCAAACAGATATGCTGTTTAGGACACATGCATTTGGCGTATACACAAACAGTTGTCTGCCATCCTAAGCAATCGCTGTTTTGTTGTGAAGTGATGCTTAAGTCAAGAAGAGTACATGTGATTCGGTGGCGTGAAATGCCACCCTGGAAGTCAACTTTAAAATAGAGTTTTAAGTATGAGAATTCCTCGTCAAGCGCATCGAAATTTCTTCTGTTTTATAAATCATTTGAAAATGTCCTAATGGGATTATTTAAAAAGTCACTGTATCCCTATATGTTTTTTAGTTTGTTAACTCCACTTGCCGTATTATAATTTGACAAGTCAACTTCTGTAATCTGGTGTTTTTCGAAATTACGTTTGTCGTTCCATTATTGCTATTTAGAGGTGAATGTTCTCTATGAGAAACAAAAATGGGGGTCATCATATTTATCATGAACAACAGATGAGGATACCATTGAGCAGTTTTGATTCACAGAATACAATTTACCAGCCCGTAACCGTGAATGATGGACCACAATGTGGCGTGTTGATTAGAAGTGGTGCATGTGAATTTTCGAAACATAACCACTGTTATACTGCAACAAAACACTCGCCATGTACTTATGTTCACTTGCACATTACTGTAGAAGTGGGTAACAATCATTCCCATATCCTCAATCTGTGCAAAAATAAAACAAAATTGTATAAAATATACACATGTCACCTGAGTGAGAACTTCCTGAGGACAATTGTGATGCACTCCATTCTAATTGTGTGAGAGCAACTCAACCTGATGATACTAAATTCACACATGAGGACAATAGCCACGTGATAACAGACTATAAACTGCAACCATATATTTGAGAATGGTGGCTTCTTGTGAGATCAGGCTTCAATCAATTCTCTGAGTGTTGAAAAGAAGCCAGAGAATTTAATTTGCAACTAATGATGTTCTGAAATATCTACGTTTAGTCCATGATATTACTTTGATTCCTAATTATCCATGCTCATTCACTTAACTCTGATGGGAGTAGATCTGTATTCGAACCATACTAATAAATGCATGATATTGATAAGTGAATTCATAACTTCTGTAGTCGGAAACAATCGTGCTATGTGGTTCATCGAGGGGATGCGATTGAGTGTTGTATAATGTTCTGTATGCGCAGTTTCCACCTATGATGGCTAAACAGTTTCATGGAATTTCATTTTCCATTTATGTGTGTATTATATCTGCCGTGCTTTGACTGGTTAGTTTAGGTTTTTGCGGTCAGTTTGTCCAATCTTTCTACGAGGTATCAGTCGATTATTTTATATACACTTCGGTCCAAAAATGCATGTTCGACATTCCCAATACAGAAGTAAAATCAAAAATTGTCTTCCATATAAATATCTCAGACTATGAAAATCAAAGTTAAAATGTTAAATCAATCAAGACAATTTGAGTAATTATTCACAGTGAAATGAAGTAGATTACGTCACTACACAATATAGGCTAAAGTACAAGTTGATAGTAGTAAGACAGGTTACTGATATCCGTAGCTGAATATGACTGAATTGACGTTAAAAATGTTTTTTAAATTTTATTTTATTATTAGCACTATCTTCACATCCTGTGTTTGTTGGTAAATTGCTGCCTCTTTCCGTTTTTATTCCTCACTTACTAATACGTGATGGATTATAGTTTTGTGATGATTATTTTGTGTCTGTTTATCCGCGCTTGACCTACAATTGACTAAACGTTTGTTATCGTATATAATTTTTCTTACTACTATCGGTACACCTGTCTTCCTACTCTCAACTCGTACTTTTGCCTGTCTTCATTTCGTTTTGACTATTGACTGTAATTGCTTTGATTGGGTGTATATATTCATGTATATATTCAGGTTTAATAGAATGAATCCTGATGACGATCTAATCGGAAACAATGTTGTTCACTCAAATGTCTTGCTCTAATTTTCGAAATTTGAATCTTTAACATCGACATCAAACCAAATTACCAACTAATCAAAAAATCACAGGCAAACACAGGATCAGGAGACAGATCAAAGCGGAGAAGAGAGTCGAAATTAAAACATATGGCGATTTACTGGAAACTGGTTAAGTGTCATCTGTGATCAGAGTATCGGTAAAAGTGTACGTTGCATGAATTAGGTAAAAAAATTCGCTTTTCCAATTTCTACTCACTCAAATCATTTCATGACGAGTTCGTCGTGAAATTCTCTGAAGTTAATTCATCCCATTTATCAGTAGTGATTTTTGACAACGTTACATCCTCACAACTCAGCTGACAAATTTCCTCATTTTGAATTTTATTCATGGGCTGTTTAGCTGACCTTGAGGTAATTTTTACCGCCAGGAAAATGCTTGACAGTGATTAGTTGATGTGTTGTTTTAGTACGTTATATGGTGGCTCTCCCAATCACGTCTCTTTGACGTATAAATACAAGCTATTTGTGTGCTTGATGTCATAGTATTGTCTCTCTACCTGTTGAATACACCTTTCATGCCATATTCAGACTTTTATTCAGGTGGTTGAGGCAACACATCCAAGTAGCCTATCGTGTCATGGGTTCATTTTCTCGTTCTGGTTTGTCGACTGAGGTGAACTGGTATTAGTTACAAGCGTATCGATTGAGGGAGTATGACAGTGATGTGAAAAGAACCTTTAATTCGTTGCATAGTGATTTTGACATAGATTGCACTCGTTCTATGAAAACGTTTATGAAGTGAGAATGTGTTGTGTGATGTTGTTTGCTTTATGGAGCGGATCATTTAATCTAACTGCATTTATGGAGATCCTGTTATTGATCAATAATGAGACCAAAATAAGCTGATCTGCCGAATCCAATACATGTCAGTCTTGAAGAATATTTGACTAGAGTTACATCGAGTCAAAGAAACGAGCGGATGGTTTGATGGAAACAAATCTAGGACCGATAATAAATTTATCAGATTTGCGTTGTGATGATGATGTGCCTAACATATTACAGGCGTAATCAGATTGATGTTCAAAGAGAGGTTACATACATAGTAAATAGGAACACATTCTGTGAAAGGACGTATTTTCATAAGTTGGTTTTCAAAATCAAGTTGTGTAGGTTGCTGAGTTACTTTAAAATTATTAATCAATCCAGTAAATGAGATCAGTTTAGGAAATATGAATGATTTTCAATGTTCACATCATAAATAATATGGAAACATTCTTTTCTCTCAAAAACATTTATTCATCGGCAAAAAGTATCAACAGACTGGAAAACTAAAAGCCGTAGCTTGAATGCTTCAGTCGAACCATTGGAAGTTGCAATAAAATTATCAGCTTTTTTCAAAAATACTGATCATTTTCGAATGTATAAATCAATGCATAATCAATAGTAAACGATAAATTAGTTAATCTATTCACTTCAACAAGAACTGTCAACATTTAACATTATTTCACATTCAATTAACCAGCTATTACATCACCGTTTTAATGACGAGTTTTCATTAACCATCTCAGGTGAGTGCAAGTTTCGTTTACATCAAACAATACGAAGAAAAATATGGCACTGTGCATTTAATAATATTCAACATTA